CGCCGCCGCCACCTCCGTCGTCTCCGAGCCCCTCCAGTTCCGCCACCCCCAGGAGAAGACCCTCCGCTACTTCCCCCTCTCCGCTGGCAAGAAGAATTGCTACATCATCCCCAATTTGCCCTCCGGCCGCTACTACATCCGCACCTTCACCGTCTACGACAACTACGACGGAAAGTCCCACTCTCCCTCCTTCGACGTCTCCGTCGAGGGCACTGTGGTCTTTTCCTGGCGCTCCCCTTGGCCCGAGGACCTCGCCCGCACCGGCGCCTACTCCGATCTCTTCGCATTCGTCTCCGACTCCGAGGCCGATGTCTGCTTCTACAGCATTGCCACCGACCCTCCCGTCATCGGATCTCTCCAGCTCATCCGGGTCGACCCCGCCTCCTACAACGCCGTTTCCATCGGCCAAAACTACATTCTCGTCAACTACGGCCGCTTCACCTGCGGCTCCGAACAGTTCGGCCCCGGCTTCAGCAACGACACCGATCTCTTCGGCCGCTCATGGCAAAACGACAAGGACGTCCGATCCACCGACGACGATTCCACGGTCCGATCACTGTCCACAAGAAACACCATTGCCAACACGGACCAGAGCCCTAACTATTTCCCGATGAAATTGTACCAGACAGCGACGTTAGTCGCCGGCAAAGGAGTGCTGGTGTACGAATTGCAGGTGGACGCGAAGCTCGATTACTTGTTGTGGTTCCATTTCGCAGAGATCGATTCGAGCGTGACCAAGTCGGGGCAGAGAGTGTTCGATATACTCATCAATGGCAAGAATGTGAATCGAATTGACATATTCAAGGAGGTCGGGAACTTCGCGGCTTATTCATGGAGTTACACTGTCAAGAATTTGAGCAGCACGGTGCTGAGCGTGAAGCTTCAGAGTGTGGCGGGTGCTGCGTTGATCAGTGGGCTTGAGAACTACGCTCTGGTTCCGGCTGATGTTGCGACGGTTCCAGAACAAGGTATAATTAATCCCAATTTATTATTTAATTGTTTGATTAATGATGAAAGCCTTGAAGAATTATGATTGGTTTGCAGTGGTTGCTATGAGAGCATTGAAGGATTCACTTCGCATTCCTGATAGAATGGGGTGGAATGGTGATCCTTGTGCTCCTACGAATTGGGATGCTTGGGAGGGAGTTACATGCCATCTCAATAAGAATGAAACTGCCCTCGTCATATCTCGAATGTAAGGAATATATTCTCTTAATCTCTGTTTTCTTTTCAATTTCAAACCTTAACCTGCAGATGCAAATCACTGGCCAACGCATTACACATTCAAGTAATTATATCACGTGTTTCAGTGATCTTGGAAGTCAAGGCTTGAAAGGGTTTATCAGTGACCAGATTAGTCTCTTGTCAAACTTGGCAAGCCTGTAAGTATCAACTGCAAAACTACTTTTTGGTGGATATACTTTATAGCTTCAGCTTATACAGTTTTTGTTTTTTTAATATAAATACACAGGAACTTGAGCTCTAATTCTTTGGGGGGCACATTACCATCTGGTCTAGGCCAAAATTCTCTCAACAAGCTGTAAGTCCCACTCATTTTGCTGCCATGTCAGTAAAAATACTTACTGATCTTTGTTGTGAAAGATAAATTCTATTTTGATGTTCTTGTGTAACTGAAAACTGTTCCTTAAGGGAGCATCTCCTGGCTGAGCATCTATTTTGATTCAGTTGAGCATAATCTTACTTTTATTGTTTTCTTATATCCCTGCCCTGTGTGACTTGAAACTGTATTTCATTGTTCGTATGCATTATTTTTCTATTTTACAATTCAAGAGGTAACATGGATTGTTTTTCTTCTGCTTCACTGATGAAACAAGTTTACCAACCAGTTTGGAATCCTTTCTTCAAAAGCATTTTTCTTGGCCCCTTTCTTACTCTTCTAAATAACATTTCTCTGTCATCAATTCACTTAGGAGTTGCATCTGTTTGAAGATTATAATATTTGTTTTGGGTTGTCATATCAGTTTCGATGTGTATATTTATTATTAGCCTTCATGGTGGCTTCAGTGTGATAAACAAACCTGCAAAATCTTCTGCTGAACTCTTTTCTAGAAAAGTTCCTCCTTTTCCTTTCTCACAAAAACTGTTATATTTAAGTTTGGCAAAGTGATAGCACGCCTGTTAATTTCGTATGTTAACATTTTCTGATGTTTGCTTTTATTTTTCTAGTCGTTTATGTGCTTCCGAGTTATTATTTATTTTTAGTACACTGCTATTTTGTAGGGATTTGTCAGACAATCAATTTTCCGGGTCTATACCACAGAGTTTAGCCACTTCAGATCTCCAGCTTGTGTAAGTAGTTTCCTTGTATATTTGTGTCCATCATTTGGCGATAATGGAGCTTTGTTCCATTGTACTTTTCGCAATCAATAGGCATTCTACTGAAATGTTACCAACACTTAAGCCAAGTATGTTAAATATATGTTGTTTGAGTAAAACACACTACACTCCACACAGTAAGTTCTTGTTAATCTGCGAGGGACAAATGCATTAGTTTGGAAAGGTCTCAATACTTTCTTACTAGTCTTGTCTATTGCGGATGTTTTATAGGAATTTTTACTTAAGCTAATAATTTATCATTCATATATAAAGTAGGTAATTTCCATTAACTAACAATGTGAAAGAAGCATTGTCTGGATCAGCCCAACGCTTTCCATGTGTTTATTTCTATCTTGTTAATGCACATTCTCTGTTCTCAGGCTAATGAATAATAACTTATTGGAAGGCCAAGTACCAGAGGAGTTGTATTCGATTGGTGTGCATGGTGGATCTATTGAGTATGTCGTAATTTAATTTTATATTATTAGTTTCTCCTTTTGACATGATTTCAAATTTTGATGAAGCTGTTAGTTCTCTCTATACTTGTATACATGCTTGTTGGTTTGGTAAGGTTTAAAATGTAATATGTATGTATATATTGTTTTACCAGCAAACTTATATGAAACCTGCTGTATTACTTTGAAAAAGACACTGAATACTGTCCAAATTTTGCTATTGGTATTAAAACATTTTTGGTTCCTGTGGCTGTACTTCAAAACATGGGCTATAGCCTGGCCTTTCTATTTTATTTTGTTGGCCATTGGGTTAGCTGGCCTTGGGGGTTCAGATTTGGAATCTATTAGGAGATGAACCCAAGACCTCTTTCTTGAAAGAGGGATGATGAGTTGTGTTACAAACCTTGTCTAGGAGTTACATCAGTTCGCAAGTACCTATTAATGTTTATCACATGCGTTGCATTTACTTTCTTTGTTTTTGTTGGTTAAGATTAATCTTGAACGTAGCTTTTTGTTGTATGTTTAACCAATGAGCTACTGTGTTTCTTTGACAGTCTCTATGGTAACAAAGGTTTATGTGGGGTACCATCTTTGCCTGATTGCCCTCTATTTTGGGGAAATGGTGGCTTATCTAAGAAGGGTAAAATTGCAATAGCCGTATCATGCGTTTTTGGTTTCTGTCTGCTGCTGTTGGTGTTATACATAATCTGCATCCGAAGGCGTAGGAATGATTATGACTTTGGCCTACCTCAAGACTTAATGTGTGAGTATGAAATAAGTTCAATCTTATTTAGATTTTGTTATTTAGTTGCATTCTTAAACTATTTTAGCATTTGGTTTCCTTGTAACAGCCAGAAATACTTTTGGATTCATGTGGGAATTCTTAGGCATTATTGGCTAATCAGATAGTTGGATATAATGCTTTTATTTTTTGAAATTCTTCTACTGACAGGTTCTTTCTTTTGTTTTTGTTTTTTTTAAATTAATGGCTTTTCTTCCAGCACTTGCTGCTAAGAGAAACAGATATCAGAGACAGAAGTCCTTGATGCTTCTTGAAATGGAGAGTCAACATGCCAAGGCATTAACACCTTTTACTCCCCAGTAACGAAGTGCTTTCTCGAAGAAGAAAGTTGCAAACTTAACACTCACTTACCAAGAAGACATACAATGAGGAACTTGATTGTGTTTTGTACAAAGTTCTCGGTCATGATGTGGACAGCAGCACCCCTGCTTCTGAGTCGGCTTCATGGTTTTTGCATTTTGGAACAATTGTTCAGGCATGAAGTCTTCCCGAAGCCAGTCCGCAGAATACGATGGATCAAAATTTTTGACTGACGAAAGAAATGCATAAGGCCCCAGCCATCTTATACCAAAGTCTCAGCATTTGTTGGATATATTGATGTAAATTTATAGTTAGAGTGCATGAAATGGAACTCACAATTCTACCAACTGGTCGCTGTTTCATTGTTACTGATTTCTGGTCTAATTTCCCCCTCCCACGCTAAATCTACATGCACTGACTGATCTTTAGCCAGATTAGTATTTGCCTGCGGAAATGTGTAATTTTTGTAGTGGATTTTCATAACGCTATTTTAAGCAACTGGCAGGCTTGTGTCTTTTTGATGAATAATTGAGGTAAACACCTGAAAATATAGGCTTGTTCTTTCACTAAGATACGCTTTTCTACCGTATGTTATTATCAGTATCAGCTGCGGTTGTGAACTGAGTTTCAACCTTGATATGCAATTAGCAGTGTCTTATGGTGGATTTTCCTCTAGTACAGTTCCAATGCAATTATCCATGAGAGGAAAAGGTTTCTGTATGTGCCTAATAATGAGAAAGTAAGAGCTCAACTATTTTTGTTTATTAGGGGAATATAATTATCTTTTTATAAAATATTGTTGCTTAACGTGATAGAATTTTCACCCTTCAAGTTTGGTAGAAAAAATTATAAATAAATAAAAATTAATCACTATAATAATTTATAAAATTGAAAAAATAAGTATCCAGTCTTGCAATATGATATGTGGGAGGTTTTCAACCCTCAAATACTATGTAAAGCAATAATTTTATATGCAACAAGTCACATGTTATCGTAGATAATATATATATTTTTAATTAACAAACAATTTACAAAGCAGCAGGTAATGGAATTCTTAACCTGATGACCTCCCAAAGTGTGAGATCAGATTAGCTGCCATTTTGACAAAGATATTGCGAAAGTCATCATTTCATCACTAGAAACCACAAATTAAAACTTGCAAATTGCAAATTAGGCAGCACGTTTGGAAGAGAGAGAGAGAGAGAGAGAGAGCCGCTGTAAAACAAGGACCACATGACCTGATCTCATCTCTCTCTACAGCTAGCTCATTCTTCATGTCACGCTCCAAATTTGAATGGATATTTATTTAGACTTTGATTTAGAATAGCAGCAAAACCAGCAACCAAAACCAATACAAATTATATATATATATATCTTCTCATCCAGAGACCTATAGTGTTTGAATAAAGGAATCTCTCATGCTTTCACACATGACTTGTTGCAAATTGTCAAAAATTAAAGTTAATTAATTGAGCTGATCACGATTATCAACTCGCTGGGATGGGATTAATTGCTATTAAACAATTCCTTAAGCATTGCATGCAGTCCTTAAATTATGCTTATCAACAATAATCCACGTTGCCCTGTCTCTTTCAGTTTGAGCAGACTTTGAGTCATGGGTCTTTGCTTCTTGGACTGCTTCTCTGCTTGTTCAAAAGAATATGATGCATGCATCATCATGTCATGTCTTCAAATAATCTTAATTTCCAATCATAAATTACTACAACCATTCAAGTAGTATTAAGACCAAATGACTTTGATTATGTTTAATCGCGCCACGATCAGTTTGATGATTAAGCAAACACTGATCACTTAATATCTGATTAGACCAATTCAATTCATCAGAACCCCAAGTTTCTCTATCAAGCAACACTAACCATGTGTTAATTACCTGCATTTCACTTATCTTTAATTAGTAGGGTTTGCAATTTGCAGCCTACGACTTTGTCAACAAGCGGACTTGGGAGGGAAGGAGAGAGATCAAGTGGCCCAACTGGGTCAGGTCAGGTTTGATTGAAAACAAATGATCAAATGGGACGGTGGTGGTGGCATCAACCTAACAAAATGTATGGTTTACAAATTCCCAAGAATAAATATTAAAGTAGAGAAGAAGAGAGCTGCGTTGAGCTTTTGACTTTGGACACCATCAAAACAAACAAATTCATCAAATGAAATCCCCAAGTTTGAGTTGACTCTTCTTTTAATTCAAGGTTTGCCGACGACTTTCATACGTACAACTTAAATTAAAGACTTGAATTGAAGACAGGTATTGGGTTTTGGTTTTGCATTATTATTTTCTTTATTCTTGTTTTTGAGTGTGATATTTCCACGTCCCCAACCACCCTTCTGGATCAGAGTCAGATATTCTCTTTTGACTGTGAATTAATAAATTTATTAATTATTAATTCCCAATTACAATGAATGAATGAATGAATGAAAAAATCTATTTAAAATTCCATGATATTTTAAGATGAGTTTTACTCCACTGGTTAACCCCATTAGCCTCTCCACTTAATACCTGATTAGACCGATTCACCACATACTTTAGAGCATTTATAATGGACTATCTAAACCAACAAATTTTAGGGAGAAATAGTAAAAATACAACTCTAACCACGCTTCGTATCCACCTCCTAAAATAGGAAATCCTCTAGGAGCTTTTAAATCTGAGAAGAGAAAAATGACTCATAGTAACTCCATATAATTTAATGCTGCTTTATTTAATGTTAATTATTTTTTATTTTATTTTTTAATAGAGATTGACCAATCAAAACTAAATTTTAACTAAGAAACATAGAGCATTATTGTATATGCTCTTAACATCCAATTCAAAATAGTAATTTGTGTGTCCCTTAATGTACGCTACACTAGTAATCCACGGAATTAAGAAAATAGTTTGGCATACGACTTGCTTGACCTCGTATTTTGTGTATTCCATTGGTTATTGGTGTATTATATTTTCTTAATGACTTGGTTACTGTCTCATCTCACCCGCATAATTTTTTGGCAAGTGTGTGTTTATAAATTATAAAAATAAAAATATTGGCAGGTAGTGGTGGCATGGAGGGGTGATGACGTTGCATTGAGTGAGAAAGATAAATGCTTATCTGCAACAGAAGAAAACAAGACACAATCACAATCGCTTGCTATTTGTTTTGTTTTGTTTTGTTTTGTTTTGTTTTGTTCCCATATATTTTGGCAAATGGAAATTGGTAGCCAACCACAAACCCCAACCCAAGTGGCAAGGCTTAATTTGACTATGAGCCTTAACTTCATGCGTGCCATGTCGGCAACATAAATAACCTCACATTAGTCCATTACTAATAATATACTGGGACCCACTTGCATTTGGGGAAATTATCTATCTATCTAAACCATTTTAAGCATGTCATTAGTTGCTGATTTAACCCTAAGAAAATATATTCTTCATTTTTCTTTTTCCTCTAGCAATACAATGGGTTTAGTCGGAATATGAATAGGAACTTTGAGAGTTCTGTTAGAAATAAGTAAGTCACGCACGTAATACACATTAACGATTGACGATAATTCACGCACAATTTTATTTTTTAAAACTTAAATGTGAAATGTAAAGAATCCATCACGTCAAAAATAAAACTATATAAGATTAAACAAGCCGACATTGAAATGCAAATGATTCTGTGATTGAGAGAATTTGAGAGCAGACAATCATTAAAGCATGAAGAAAGAAAGAAAGAAATGCTAAAAAGCCCAAAATATCATTCAAAATCAGTTGATCAAGTCAAAATCAGTGAGACCCCATTGCTTCAAATTGCGGGTCAAAAGACTTGAAACAGTACAGGTGTATCTAGAAGCGAATAATATTCTCAGTTATTATTTTTCCACAGTGTTTAATACACTATCTCTCTAGACTCTCTAGGTCTAGCTAGCTAGCAATATGACTGGTGTGAACTGTGGGTATCGAACACTGCCAAGGAAGACTTTGTGTGAGGCATGGCCTCTCAGCCAATGGGATGAGTTATGTGGCACACAGGGGACAGTGGGGCCCAAACCCAAGGACCAATGGTGGCATTGCATTTGCTTTTGTTTGAGTCAACAAAAGCAACTTCTAGTTACATATGATATGACCCTACTTCTTTACAGCCTAGTTGCTCACCTAATGTGAAGCTCATTATTGGTCCTCGCTTGCAAACAATGTGGCTGCCTACTTGCCTACTTATCATTTTCGTTTCGTTTACTTCACCACAAATATATATAGAATCTTCTACACTCCCAAAAAATATATATATATATATATATGCGCTTCTTTGACCAACTTCAATTTTTTCTCACTAGGGTTTAGCTGGACTTATGCGTTGATTTCCTGCATTGTTTTGTTTAATCTCTCTCTTCCGGTTTTAAAGCTAATTAATCTCACTCTTAGTTTGCCCTCAACCCTAGAAGTTTGAATTTTAATACCCTAAGACTAGTTTATAAAAGATAAACGACTAATTAACTGAGTCATGAATTACGTTTAGTCGTGTTCGTTAAGTAACATATAATTCTCGCATATGGTTTTCAAATAACATATTCTCAAGTTTACTATTTTCCACCCAAAAAAGAAAAAAAAGTTTACTATTTTAGTCAAGAGATCTAAACAACATCTTTGCAGTTTCAAATTTAATAATGTGCCAAAGAAGTTGTAACAAAATCTGAATAAACTGAAGGAAATATAAAAGCCAATACATTTTAAAATGGTAAACTTGGAAAACAAAAACTAACTTGTGTGATGCATTAATGACATTGTTTTTAGTGTAAGAAAAATGACACTTGTCATGAGGAGAAGAGAGAATGTCTAAAAGAGAAAGTTAGAGAGAAAATTGATAGCACTCCTCCTAAATTAATTGAGATAGCACTATTACTAATTAATTACACAGTCACAGTACGAAGTAGGGTTTGAGTGGTGATATACGATCACGTGGTTTTGACCCGAAAGGGGTGGGTCATTGTCCACGTCGGTAGAGGATCGGGCAACGGTCAAGGATCTCATGATATCACTCGGTTTTACTTATTTCCTTTTTCTCTAATTTTGTAATTAATTAATTTTAATTGGCCCCTAGTTATATTATTATATTCTTTGTATTTGTTGGTGGAGTGTTGCTTGCGTGTGAACAGACAACAGATGGAAAGAAACAAGTTGGACGATAAGAAACAAACAACAAATGGGGAAGCAAATAATGCGTGTTCTTGACGTGGCGGAAAAATTCCACCCCCCAAGAAAATTAATATTTGGAAATATCATTTTCCCCATGTTTGTCCCATAACCATTTATTTTTTTTTAAATTTTTTTTTAATTGAAGAAAATATTTACTTCCGCATTTCTTTTCGCACAACTGGTGCAAATTGCCAAAAATAATAGGGGGATTTCACCTGTTTTTGGGGACCAGTGGTCCAGCTCCACCTTGCATCCGGCAACTGGCAAGCCTTGTTAATAATGTCACTCTTAAAACACGTCCCCTTGATGAGTTTTGCATTATTTTGTACTGTCATGTGTTAATTAAGGAAACTAATCCACCATTAGTGACTGAAAATATGAGATAAAAATTGAC